ATGAGGATATTAAATGGAGAGGATAGATTTAGTCTATGCTATAAAATATAGCAAATTTATTTCAAACCCAGGACTGACAAGAGTAACTGACTCCACACTGGAAGCATAGCTCACCCATATGAACTTCACTGTGTGTGTTTTTAATAACCAGTGAGACCTGAGGTTCATTCGATTGGATAGTCTTGTGTACATTAATACAGAAGGTTTAATAAAAAAATCTGTAGCTCTTAAGTAAGCCTGATGAATATGGAGACAGATAGGTCAGGACTCTGATTCCTACAACGATGCTGTAGTAACTACGTTTATACTCCTTTTCCAGAAGAAATAGAAAGTGAGAATAGGGGTGAGAAGTGTTGGTGTTCTTTTTGCAAAGAGAGACTGGAGAATTGAGATTAATTTTCAATGGCAATCTAGGAGGAACACAACAATGTGAGGTCACCTGCAAGTCTGCTTTTCACAGTGGAAGGAATTCACTGTCATTTGGGATAAAGGAGTAAACACAGTTTGGGGGCACAGTCCCTAGCCACCCATCAGTGTCTGTCCTTCTGACCTTCCTTTTAGAAAAGGTAACTGATTTGTAAGCAGAACACTAACAAATATGGAAAGAAAAGCGAAAGTTCTATCTGGCCTGGGTTGTCTCACTTCAAAAAGTAGGTATTAGTCTCTTAAAAATTGTTTTCTTGACTTCGTTTTGGAGGAATGAATTAAAAAAATGCTGACAAATCATGAATAAAATGTTTCATGGCAGGTGCTAATAGAGTACTTCAATAACGATTTGGCATTAAGGACACTATACCTAAGAGGGACTGAGTTTAGAAAAACATCTAGCATTTCAAAAGAGAAAAAAAACAGACAAATCTCCTTTTACAGGATATGGGCTAATTTTTTCTAAAGAAACAAAGACTTTTTTACTCCGTAAGGGGAACAATTTTAGGGAATAACAAAAAGGCACATTTAAAAACCTGAAGTTGATCTCTGAATTAAACTAGTGTGTATCATTCTGACACAGAATATCCCTTTCTAATTGAAGTCAGTACAACTAAGAAGAAAGTCAGGAGGAAGAAATTGGTTTAGGTTTTGCTGGGGGTTTTTTGTACATTTTTTTCCAAAGAGGTATCACTTAGAAAACTAGGTTAGAAAATGTTTATTTTGGATCATTTCTAGATTTGTCTAATCCTAAACCAAATAACCTAACTAAAACAAAAAGAGATTTTTCCAATACACACATTAAAATCTGTGAAGATAAGTACTTTTGCATCCACAAATACAAGATGACCAAAAAGACTCAGAACTTACAGACATGCAGTGTTGCCACTCTCTTATGAAAAGCAGCTGATCTTATAGACAAACCAGCCCCTTCCCAGGAGCTGATGTGTTATGAGTTTGTGGCACTACAGAAGGTTTTCATCCCCCTGCCTCAGGACAGCACACAGCGATGGACCGTGATGACATGACATGGGGGCAAAATTATTTTGCCCAGGAAACCTTCCACATTTCTAAGGACCGCACTGCAAAACAATCCCCTTTAGACAAAGCACCTCCTGTTTCTGTAAAAGGTTGAGAACAACCTGGGGCTAAGTCTTCTCCTTTGCCCACCTGTGGAAGCTGAAGAGATGCTTCAGGTGCAAAAAGTAGGGTTTGGGTTGACTAGAAGAGCTCACTTTGTGTTAGATTGTGTTCTGCCTATTTATCTATCAAATAAAATAACACTCATCAGTAATTCAGCTGTAAGTTGCAGGCAGTAAAGATAACCCAGCTTCATGTGACAAGGATTCACTATCAGGCAAAGAAAATAAAATCCTCCAGTTAAGGGTAGAGATCAATTATGAGTTAAAGGTGTGTTGATTTTTAATCAGTGTTCTGGGTACAGCTGGTGAGTTGTGGAAAACTAAATACAGTAATAATGAACTGTTGCTGCCATCTACTGAACACAAGAATTTATGTACTGCATAGATTTACAGTTTCAGGTGTGAAACTATTTGCTTGGCTGGATTAAGTAAAATTTCTGTCCCATAAGAGTCATATTTACAGTCATATTTATTCCTAGAAGATGTTTAGGATGTGAATCTGCTTTAGAGCATATCTGCCCCCTTTTGGGGATTCCTCTTTGGAAAGCCGCTCCTAGCCCATAGGGGCAATGTGAAAGGTGAGATCTGGAGAGAGAATACAGAGCTCTCATAGTGTGAAACACGTTGCTATTAATAAGAAAAAGTTACTAGTTAAAGCTGTAGATTTTAAAAATCTTGGTACATGTTAGCTTTTCTTTAGTTATATCACCCAGAACTCTATCGTCTTTGCTTGGATGAATACTTATCCTTGTATGGCAGCTCTGCTTTAGGAAGCTAAAGGAGCTTCCATGTGACAAACCACTGGCATTGGCACTGAATTTCTACCAGGACGTTGAAGTGTGGGACCAAGATAAAGCAGGCTGCTGAGGAAGTTCTAGCCAGCAAGAGCTCTCCCAGCCTCAGTTCTTTGCTTTATCCAGGGACTGAACCTGTTCCTGTAAGTCCCAGAACCTGCCTCTGGGTGTAAAGAGAGGCATTCAAACGTACTCATATATGTATGTAAGCATTAAGTTTCAAAATAGTAAAAAAATCTATACTAACACACAAAAGAGCAACAAAGTCATTAAGTGCAATAAATACAGTACTGCTATCTGGCTGCAGCATATTAAAAATATATGCATGTATTGCCTACCTGCAAGGTATATATGTGGACATTGAGCCAAATTCAGCCCTGCAGGTTAACAAGACCCTATTTTGTATTGGGTTCAATGATGGACACATTTGCTCCATGTCTTTTGCCTTGTTAAGGGTCATAAGAAAGCTGGAATTTGCAAAGGAAGAGTGGCAGATAGCAGGGGAGCCTGCTGCTCTCACTGTATTCAGCCTGGTGGTCAGACAAACACAGCTCAACAACAGTGTAACAATGTGGTTTTGTGCGAGACCCAAGACCGTTGGCTGCAATAACAGTGACAGCAAAGGGATTTAAAGAGAAAAAATTAATATAAAAATCTAGCTCTTCTCAATCTGCATTCGAGTAAGTCAGGAGTGGAAGGACTGAGTTTAACAGAATGACACCAGTGTGAGAATCGTGAGAATAGCAAGTTGACATCAGCCATCTGTATTCTTCTGCAAAACTCTAAACTTCCACACGAGGGAGCTTCCTGCCCACGAAGCTCGCAGGGCGCTTCCTGCGGGAGGGGTGACAGCAGTGGTGCCCTGAGTGCGTAACCTCTGCCGATTGCAGTCTGATTGCACTGCTAACAGCACAGCGAGAGCCAGTAACGAAATGGTTAACAAATAATGATGATTGTCAGAGCTCGTTAACCACAATTATTTTCTAGACATATGTAAATCTGTATAAATACCTAAGTGTGGTATATAATCTAAAACATACTGTTTAAATCTATAAGCATTCCTGAGTTAATTTCACTATGGGAACATTAGCTGCAACTTCCTGACTTCACTGTGTTTGAATTCATATCCACGAACATTTAAAATTAGTCTAAATATTTGTTGAGAATTAATCACCTGATAAATTTAGCTCTTTTTCGTTTTTATGAATTATTCATTATCTCCTTTCCTTTCCGTTGATGTGTTGGTTGGTTGCAAGAATTGAATTACTAGTTTGTGCTCAGAAAAAATCCGGCATTCCCAGAGACTTGTACAGTGTTCCTCTGGCAACCTGACTGGTGACTATCATAGCATTTGTTTTTACCAATAATGTATGGTACTGTACCAATATTGTATGGTACCGTATGGTTTGCTTCTAGAAGGATCCACTGGAGTTTTTAAGAGAGACATGAGTAAGTTCATACGGCAAATATTTTGCAACAAGTATTTCTCTGTTTATATCTGTCATATATATCATGAATGTTCCTGCAAAGGAAGGTTGCATTAGTAAAAGATTGTTGATGGGAATGTTTGGGAACAGTATGATGAGATGTGACTACAGGAGTGAACAGCTATGTAAAACTATCTGAAATAGAAAAAGCTCTTATTACACAGTCTTATCATAGAAAATATTTGAGCTTGCAAAAGGAAAAGAATAATTCTGTATTAGAGTGGCCTCTGAATAAAAAATTATCAACCACCGGATATTATAAAGAGGAAGAAACATTTTAAGGAAAGCCTTGAGTAGACGAAAGTCAAAATCTTTAACATGGTATAGTTCTAAGTAAGTGATTTGTGTGCCTCTAGAACATAAAGGCCCATTTCTCAGACCTTCTAGCCTGCCTTCAATAAAACCAGTGGAAGACCAGATTTTCTGAATAGAGCTTACATTCGCAAGTCTAGTGCTGGAATTCTTAATTTCTGGTTGCTGCCCGTTAAAAAGAATTCTGCCATAAAATTAATTTACTAGCAAGCATGACTTCCCTTCTTTCATCTCACTGAAATAGATAACATCTTGAACTTCCCATTGGGTGATGTCTTTATATTTGTTACTTTCAATCTCAGTTTGTTACTATTAATTAAATAACAAATCAGAAAATTACTTCTAAAATTATGAAAAAGCAAAACCCCCAGAACACACCCTCATGTGGCTAGTAACTAGTATCAGCACTTGCAAAACATCAAAGGCTTCTCTAAACATAGGCTTTCATCAGTGACGCTGCAAGCCTTCATCTAATCTTTCATGATTTCCCATGTAGAAACATCAAAAGAGAAAGAAGAGACTATCACTGTTCCAAAGCAACAGCGCTCTGTGTGAAAAGCATACGTTTAGCTGCAACACCCATAAAATGTAAGTGGGAAACTTTTATTTACATGAGACATATTTTAATAAACACCATCATTAACTCCCTGTCTTTTCCTATAAGGGCCAAGGATTTGTGTGGTTCAAAATTGTATCCAAAGCTCAAGGGATTTCTGGAAGAAAATGAAAAAGAATTAGAAAGTATCTAACGTGTAAGTCTTCAAAGCAAGAAGATCAATTTATGTTCATTTTTACTTACTGAAACACGTTCTGCATATTTTATTGTTTCTGTCATCTTGTTATAATCCATCCAAAGAGTTTTCAAAGAACATTAAGTCCTACAAATAAAAAAACAGTGAATGATATGGAAGGTACAAAAATTCAACAATTACTATCAGAAGTCTTACTTGTAGGCTTTTGTTACATAAATAATTAGATTAGTGAATTGTTTTCTGTTACTCTGCCACTGAGCAACAGGAGATTTGGAGGACACAATCCAAAAAGTGTCATGAGTTACATGTCTATCCTAATAAAAGCAAAATTTTGGAATCATTGTTGCTATTTTAAAGAAAACATTTTCCAATTAATAGTTTAAATAGTTTTGTCCCTTTTATTATGTTCTCTGATGTATCACAGATGATTTTGAAACCATTGCATGTTAATGTTAACACGCTGGTGTTGGCAGAAGAGATACATAGCAAATATCAATATGCAATTCTAGAAAACATGCATTTTAACTATACATCTACCTCTTGGTTTTTCATACTTACAATGAGGAAACAAGCACCAATCATTACTGCTTTGATTCTCACATCAAGATCTACAGGGACCTGAATCCCAAAGTTGGCAGTGTTGGTAAAGACGTTGTTTACAAATCCAGACCAGTACTTGGAAATTTTGCCAATTGTTGACATCTCATTGAGAGCTTTTACCTGCACAAATGAAAAACAAGACTACACTTAAATGTAAATAAATCACGTATACACTGATTATATCTCCACAGAACTAGTGACTGTGCTCTGACAAACACAGTATGCTATAATTGTCAGATTTTTCTTTTATTCTTATCATTGAGATGCTCAATTAATGTCAGATTTGCCTTTAAGTGAGGCAGACAAGAAAGGGTCTCAAGTTTGGAAACATCAGCATCTTTAGAGCTGAGAGAAAAGTGGAGGAAAAGCAAATGTGAAAATTTATACCAGTTGTACTGTTCCTTCACAATGTTATTTTTGTGTTTCTGGTATGTTCAAAATCACAGCAACACTGCTGTGGACCACTGTCCCCTAAAACTGACAGATATGTTCTCAATTATATTTCCATCTGAATGTTTTTCACAGTACACTGAAATTTCAGACAATATTCACTGAAGTCTTCTGATTTGGCTAATGAGCTGATCAGCACAGCAGGTCTTTTATGATGCCTTAACTATGGCAAAGTGCTTTGTTCACATCAGCAAACTGTCCAGAATTTCTTCAAGCATCTCCCATTCTACCTCTTACACCTTAAATATCTCAATAGATCCTCAATATTCTCCTGAAGACTGTTGTCAAATGGATAAAGACATACTAGTGAATAATTCTGCCCATCCCTTCTGAGAGTAATGAAGGCAGCAGACTCAGTGCCACAGCTTCAAGGGACTGTCTACCAGGTAACAGTGAATTCACATGGGATGAAACCCTGAGCCTATCAAACTCAAAGGCAGAGTGGTCAAGGACTGCAGAGGACCAGGACTTCACTTAGCTACATGTTTATTTCCTTGAAAGAATTGTCACTCCTGTCCAGACAATATCTGTAGGAATCTGAGAGCACAAGTCAGAATCTCCAATCCACATAATTCCCCATAATTATAGCATAATTATGGAGAATTCTCTTCCATAATTATAGCAACATCTTTCATAATTATAGCAACATACAGAATATTTTTAAGGGTAGAATAACAGGATTTTTGAGTGAGAAATTTATTCAGAGTAGTAAAACCTTAAAATTCTTCACACTCATAAGAAGCATACCTCAAAGTCAACATCTTCAAAATAGCCACAAGTTGCATATGGGCCAATTATTTTTAGTACATCTTCTTTACTTTCATTCTGTATAGTAAACTTCGGCAGAAAAGGGTCCCAGTTCTGTACAACATACCCAGCTACTGTACCCGGTGGGGACTGAACTTCTAACTAGGAAATAAAAGAAAATAAAGAAATCTTATAAACTAATTATATATTGGTATATTTTTCCACAACAGTGTATTGTTTATATAATGATTAAATACTTATTTATTGAATATAATTATATATAATTTGACCAAACTGTGAACTGCATATTACAAGGCTATCTAATGGTGGTTTTAAATGTAGTGGACAATATGAACCTCAAAAAGCTGCAGCAGAAGCTAACATCTTTCATGTAAGATTTGATAAAAGCTTTACATTGTGAAAAGGCTTTGTTACTGTCATCGGTGAGTATCCTATAAGCTTTTTTATACAGTAGCTGTGCTACCAAAGGACCTTGTTTTTAAAACTGTGGTGCAATAGTGAGAATGTAGGAAGATGAGTTAATCTATAGAACATTTTCGTAAAACAAGAAAGATATCTGAATAAAGGAGAGTCAACAATAAGGAGGAAAGGTCCAATACTCTGTAGGATCTGTGTTTTTCACTCAAAGCAGCTGATTTCCAAGTTCTGCAGCTTCTTAGAAATATGTGGCCTTGAAGAGGAGAGATGGAGCAAAGCATTGGCCTCCTTGGAGAGCTGCTTCCCAATCTAGTGGCCTCCAGGGGTTTTCCATCCTTCACGCTCTGGGTGTAAAGCACAGCGGGTGATTTCCCTCTGTACCACTAAACAACATTAGTCTGTGTCAGGGCAAGCAGAATCTTGGGGTGTTACCTGATTGGACAGACATCTGTACCATCAAACATAAAAGCCTTATGTTGGATGTCAGGAAAGTCCGATGAAAGGGAGAAGGAGTGCTGGGATGTAACTCATAAAAAGCCTCATTTCCCAGTAGTTTCTTCTAAATAAAGGCCCCCAGGCTGAGAGGTGAATGTGAATCCTTCCTGCCATCCTCACAGGGAGATGCTCAGACAAAAGACAATTGGGATTCACTCACCTCTTGCAGGAAGCAGGGGAACCAGCAGCTGTTGCATCTCAAGGGCCTGTTCACTGTAATCACTTCTCGGCCTGAGTTATCAGCAATCCTTATGGTGAAAGACCTTATGGGCGAACACAAGTTACGATCAAAGCAATCATTCTCTTCCACTGCAAAATATACTCTTTGTCCCAAATGGTTTTTTATCTCATATTTGCTGGAGGTCTCTGTGCCAAGTATGGCTAGTAAAGAAAAACAAGTAAAACATTACCTTAGTATAATGTTACTATATATATTAGCATATATTCTAAAAATCTATGGAGCAGACACTGTTTAAAAAATCGTATTCTGAAGGAAGGTTTAGTTCAAAGATTTTGATTTGCTGTACCCTAAAGTACGTATCACAAAACGGAATTCGGATCCTGAGTTTTGATTTGGGCTTTTTGTTACTTTATCATTTGTGAAAATGAGCGGTATCAGGCTCACCTACTTCAGTGACAAACTTTTCACCCACTGAGGTATCCAAGAATCAAGCCAAAAACATTTTGAATGAGAGAAATATGTTAAAAAGTGTTTTGCTTGCACAACACTTGTTCAGTATTTTGAAATTCTGAGGAGCTATGTAAATAGAAACTCTTATGCTTCATTTTGTGTCTTCTGACCTTTCTTTCTCTATTTGCTTTGTTTCTTGTAGCATCTTAGTGTCAAAGACAATAAATTTTGCATGGATTGGAAAAATAGTTAAACTTTAATAACTTTGAGAGGGAGGTGTCTGAGGTCCGAGGTGTCTTTAGGACTGGTGTAGAGACCACTCACTGTAATCTTTCTTTTCTCACTGATTTACTGCAGAACAGGCACAGAGAAAGTGAGCTTTCACTGCACTAACCACATTAGAGGTCTGACACAAGGTCAGCAGGAGGCTTTGCAATGCCTTCAACAAGGTGGGGGCAAGACTTGGAAGCCATTCAGATACATCTGTGTACCAGCACTGTTAAAGAGCAATAAAGATTGCACCATACCTTCAAGAAGTTCCACTTGCTGATGAATAATTATCCGGTCCAGCTGTTTAAATAAAATAAACAAGATGGTGGATGTTGGAAAAGTCTGGGGCTGCAAGTGATCACTTGTCTATTTTTATTGCTCATCTCCCAGTTATACAGATTTCTTCCAGAGGTGCACAAGCTGTGTGTTTGGGGCCTATCTCAAGGTACACTTTACTCATCTCTCTGAAATGATGACAAGAGTGTGACATTGAGTGCTGTGGTTATGTAATTCACTCACGCATTTGAAGAAAAATAAACTTCACTGGAGGAATGAGGTGGACAACAGCAATGGAAAGATGTATGTGAGAAGCAGGACCCATTTCTCACTCCTGGTCTTGGCAGAGGGGTGCATGGCAGTGCAGCAGTGAAAGAGTTTGGGCTCAAGCTCAAAATGTGCTGTAGCCACATCCCACTGGGCCCTGCCAGAGCAGCCCATCAAGGCAATTGGGTGGTGCCAATGATGGCACTCATGGGCTTTAACCCTCTGATCTCAGGCACCAGGAGTTCTGCACTCTAAATCAAATGGTCACACCAGGGTGCCAGAATGAGCAAATCAATAGCTCCCCTGAGAAGCTGGCTGAAATTGTCTTCCCCTACAAGCTGGGTACAAACGCAGGGAGAAAAACTATTTGCCATACACCCAGTTTCGCTGTGTGTGTTGTCCTTCCAACATTACTGTATTTTAGAGAACAGTCATTAGTATTATAAAACCAACAAGACCTAATTTCACTCGACCTCTCAGTTTTATGTGATTTTTTATGCCTGTATTATGTGATAGTTTAGGCTTTGCTAATCTCTTTTCCTTAAATTCCTGGCGGGCAAAATGTTTAGCACAGTATTTTGCCATTACTGACAGCTGCAGACAGAAAGCACACAGTGACCTTCTGAGACCAGCATGTTACAGCTCTCCAGCTTTTGTATATTTTACAATTGATAAATCTTGTCTGGTACGTATTCAAACTGTTGCAGCCATTTGTCAGTCCCGGTCATCTCCTGCAGCTAGCTCAGGCTACAAAGAAAAGCTGGTAAAAACCCGCAACTTTCTTTATCCCTTTCATTAATCTCTGAAATGTGTGTGCCAGTAATTGAAATAATAAAAAATATTTGGACTTTAAAATTTTCTCCCAAGAATCTTTGCTGTTTGCTGTTTAGCTTTCATGAGAGATGTGGACTCTTGGAGCTCATGGGAAGTGCTCTAGTGATGAAAAAAGAATAAACAAGTTAAATATTATAGTGCTATTTCAATATTTCAGTATTGATTTTAATACAGATTTCTTTGGCCCACATAGACTTTCACGGGGAAAAGAAAATTAATAAGGTTGAATTGTTAAAAGCTTTGAGTGATTTTGGTTGGTCTTACTGGTTTATTATGAACAATGTATAAACAAAGTTGAGACAACAAGGCAATACCACTTGTTAAGCTTGTTTTGCCTTTCACTGGTTTCTGCAAGGCAGCTATTTTGATGCATCTTTTACTGGGGCACTAGTGGACTGAGGGAATTCTTCACTTGCGTTTGAAATCTAAAGCCCGTCGGTTTACAAGGGTCTGAGTCCTCTGGAGCTCAGACATGTTAAAATTCCTTATACACAGCTAATACACTCACTATTCAGTTTTGTGGGCATTGATTTACATCTGAGCAGTCTAATTAAATCTAAACTTAAGAAAGTTTTTACAAAATTGGTTAAGCCTGAATGGTGGCACAACATGCTGTTGAGCTACTTCGAAAATTCTTCTCTGAGGATTCATCTGTCTATTCCTGCTCTGGGAAAAATTTCCCCTCATTTCTGTTATGGATGCTGGACAATTCCTCAGAATATGGCTGTGTGATCTAGAAGATAATAATGGGGTTTGGGTAACTTTTTTTTGGTAGGAAATTGTTTAAAGAGTGTCACTTCTGTTGTAAAAATCGTGGTATCGGTTTGCCAAGGCAGAAGCAGTTTCTTGCCCTTCTCTGATGCACTTTGAACATCCAAGCAAATCACTCTGCAGGCTGACTGACTCCAGATGTGTATTTGCAGAGTCAAATATTGCTGTCTGGCCTTAACCTACAGGACAGATATTTTCATTTCCTTTTATCTAATATTATATGCTGTTTCCTTGAATTGCTGTTTAGAATACAACTGTAGGGATCTCTTTTAAGATTCACTAAATGTGGATCCTTGTTTCGGAGTCAAACACATCATAAGCTTATTAAGAAATACATTCAGGATTCTCAAATTCATCCAGCTACCTTCCTCACTCCTGCTAGAGATAATCCCACAACATTGTTTCTGTTTGTTATCCTATATTTACTGACCACAACTTGCTATATAATCTTTCTTCCAGTAATATATTCCTATAAATGAAATTTCCTTCTTTCCCATAGTTTGTTACTTTTCTAGGTACTCTGTCACAGTTCCCTCTCTAGTAGTGTTTTTTTAGTCTAAAGATGAAACAATTGCAGTCTTGTCTTAGAGCACATTCTCTATTCCCCACATCCTTCCAGCAGCCACTGTTGGTGTCTGTTTCAGTACAGACCCACCTTTCCCCAACCAGAAAGATCCAGAGTATCCTAGTCTTCCTAATGGCAGCAAAAATTCCCAAGTTCTGCTAGAAACTTCTTCATTCATTTGAGAATTTGATTACATGAAAATCTCCTAGTCCATCAGGATAAATCCCAAGGGGTCACCCGGGCAACTGCGAACCCCACATTCATTCTGCAGACAGCCCTCTCCCTGCCAGTTGGATCCCCCTTCTGCTCCAGTCCATCCTGTGTGAGCCTGTGTCCTTAGTCATACAGCCAGTGTGACTTCGGCATCGCACACCAAAACATTCTGCAGCACACAGAAACTCTAGCTGTGGGTATATGCCAATAAGCAGCATTGCACGCATGCTTTCCACTTTTCAGACTGCAGAGAAAATTGAGAATAATTAGCAAGGGCTGTAGCATGAACACATGGTTATTGGGCTGAGAACAAGTGTGAATGAGATCTTGAGTTCTAGTTTTAGTTCTGAGAGCAATCTGCTCTTTTGTCTTTGTGTCAGATGTAGAGCTTCTAGAAGATGGAGTAACGGAATTTGCTTGCCCGTGTTGTATGGGTAAATCTGAGGTATAATTCGTGATCATACAGGAGACTGAATATGTAACATGCTGAGTATTTACTGTCACAATCACTTTTAAACTGAAAAAATGTAGCTCCCACAGTCTGTGAGCAAATGCTCAGGTAATTGACAACACATATCATTTTGTTCATGGGGACCATGAAATGAAAATCATAACTCCACATGAACCATTGTTTCTGAAAGGTCTCCCAGTTTCATTAGCTATCTAGATAACTTAGCTCTAAGTATAAAACACATTCAGCTTCTGCTTCTGTGCAAAACCACCATAGTAATATATATCTTCCAGTGAAATAACATTTTCCAGCACCACTAAAACACAAACACAGCAGAAGCATGTGAACCAGTCACAAACTGATAACACAGAGGGCCTAATTCTGTCCCTGCCCATACCAGGCAGGGTGTAGGACATGTTAGTCAGCATATATGAGTGCCAGAATCCAGCCACATGTGAAATATGAGCTGGAGTCTGTGTCAAAGTGGTAGCAGGAAGAGATGAAGAGATTAAACTGCTAGAGCAGAGCTGCAGACCATCACTGTTCTGAGCTCCAGGAACCTCTCAAGGGTTCACAGAGTGAGGTGGGCAGCTGCACATTTAACAGTAGAACAGAGAAGACTTGAGCATTCCCTTTCCTGCCCCTGCCTGTGACCTACTTGTCCGCTCGCATTTCCCTCTCTCAAGCAGCAGCCCTTTCCTGCCCCGTGACCCAATGCAGAGTGGGTGCAGGTTTGTAGCCACCAGGTTTGTGCGTACAAAGTTGTCTCCTTAGGAGCTTGCCTCCCCAGGACCTGGCCTCTGACCAGGAGAGCACTGTGCTTGGCAGAAGGAGTTTGCTCAGAAAACTTTTGTATTCCTCAAAGGATGGGTTACAAGGAGGTGGTAATTCCTTCACAATCTGCCTATTTTAGTCTTTTTGAGGCTAGCTGGAGTTTGATAGCCATTTTGCTGAGCTTGAGCTCCTAAGGAGCTGGAAGGAAACTGGGGGGACAGTGAGAAGGGTAATACTATGAGATTCTAGAGGGAAGAAAACCATGGTTTTGGTGCAAGAAGAACTGCATGCATAAAAAATGGATTTCTATGAAATGAATGGTAGTGATGAAGGAAGTGTTTGTTCTTATCTCCTATTTCTTAGTACCATCAAACAATAAAGGAGGCCCTCCATCTCCACCTGCTCCTTCACCAAGGAAAAAACCCACACAACTCCAACCCCCAAGGCATCAAGGAAGTCTACAAGGAAAACCAAACAATTCTAACATTTGAAAAAATTCAGGACCTGATTCAGGTATTCCAAACCAGGTGGCAAGTTGTGTGATGTTTGCTTCCAGAGATTTGTTGGTTCAACAGGCTTATTCTGTTCAGGAAGGTCAGAAGAACCAGGGAGATAATCCTTAAAGACTGAGTTGCTTTGTGTTTGAGATTCTGCAGGAAAGGAAAAAAAAATCAGAAATGAAGAGTGCCAAACAGAAGCTAGCTGCTTGGGTCAAAGCTGGAACAATAATGTCACATTCTGCCCGTGACTATATTGGCATTAGTTCAGATGAGGCATGAGGATCTGAAATTAATTTCCTGACGGTCCCACACTTGGAGCATGTAAATTCACTTTGTAAAGCGGTCTTGGAATATACAAAGTGGAATCGTTATAGATGAAGCTAAACTTGGAGATGTGGTGTTGCAGGGGACCTAATCTGTTCTGACAGCTTGCAAGCACTCAGTCTGCGTGACAAGGCTGCAGCTGGTCTGGACTCACACACAGAGTGGCCACAAGCTCCTCGGTCAGTTGCTCAGCCCTGCTGCCCATGGCCTGCCCTGTGTGCTAAAGTACATCCAGCTGCTGAGGGCTTGCTTCTTGCAAGATGCTTTCTAGCATCATGAGAGCATGCATATTTTCTCTTAATTAGAGATAACCTTTCCAGGGATCTCAGATTTCCCAGGCTGGATGTTACAACCCTGGTATCAAAGTCTACATAGTCTCTTACAGTGCATTATTCATTATTATCTTAATGAAAAGATCAGGTACTGTTAAGCTGTGTTTTCTGCTTTGCTATTGCAGATACATGTCTTAGGACAGACTGGTTGTTGCCTTGGTTAGTGCTGTGACAGTACTGATGTTATTTATTGTTACAGACACCTGTGGGACCACACTCCTTCCCACAGCACAGTGATCACTTCATCCGTTTGATTTGCACCAAACTCCTACTGGTTTTACTACAAGGATCTTTCCATAGGCTTCAGTAACACTGGCTTTGCCAGAGCAAGAAAAATCAAGCTGAAGCTCTCCTTTTATTAAGGCAAATCCTTGTATTAAGCTGAACCCCTGTGCTTTGGCAGTAAAGCAGTCCCCAAACTGATCATTTTTATCTCATGGTGACAATACTCAGGCATGATGGATTTTGAGGTCCAGAAGGAATTTTGGCCCTAGGTCTGAAGCTGCCTTTTGCTGTTATGGGTTTAAAGGAGGTCCTTTAGCATTATTTGAACTCACTGTGGCTGATTCATTGTTTAATCTTATTTTGATCTTAATTCGCCTTTGCAGCCACTGCTTTCTTTCAAAGTCTGAGACCACAGGAAGAAGTAACCCCTTTGAATTTGTATCTGGCTTTTAAAAATGTATAACTGAGTAATAAATATTTTATATGCTCTTCTGCATCATTTTACCTCATAGGGTTCTGTTACTGCCGTAATGCTTGTTGTTACATGAAATGCCATGAAGTGGCCGAATGTTAGTGCTTTTTTCCAATAATAAAGAGAAAAAAATACCACAAATTGCAGTTCTACCTGTCAAATTTTAAGCTATACAAAAATCAAACAGTAAATACATAGAATATTGATGACAATCTCAGGTACTTCGACAGTTTGTCTATTTTTGTGGATGTTTCCCACCTCATTTATGGCATAGGAAAACTTAAAGTTACCATATGATACAGTGAGCATTCTACACAAATGTAATTTGTAGAATTACTTGTTCATAGAAGAAGTATATCATCAAATTCGTTCCTTATGAAAACTGTATTACACAATATTACTATTTTGCTGCTTCTGCTAACTACTGTGCATTAAACATATACAAAACCAGATCTCTTTTATATGGTTAAAGACAAATTTTAAAAAAAAGTATATTGCAAGAGCACAACAATGCTGTAAAACCTGCTTGTTGCTGTATAGTTTCCTGTGCTGTAAATGCAGAATGCCTTGAATATTTGTGGGGCAACAAAGAAGGGTAAACATTTGGCAAACATAAATAGTCATCGCTGAAACTCCATGGGCCAGCATCTACGTCTGTATGTCACAAAAGGGTGACCTCTGTGGAGTTGCATTCCTGTTAAGAAAACACAAATTTGTGTCCTTCTGCTTAGTTTGAGAGCATGGCAAAAATTAATTTAGAAGGCTGATTGTATCAGTGTGCTGCAATGCTTGCCTATAGCCCTGAGCACCCAACTGGCTGCTGCTGAAAGGCAATGCATGACAAAGATGAAGCAGCTAGGAGTAATCTGATTAAATTCAGTTATACTTCAGATATTTATTTTCCCTGCATGGTCATTGGGACTCTAGCCAGTTTTGAAAGTGAAAAGCATTTGCCGCTTTGGTATTTTGGAAATGCAGTAGGGAAGAAGCATACAAAAGCAGTGGTGCCCTTGGCTCAGTATCTGCCCTTCCTATGCATTCTGTACCAACACGCTTAGGCACAGAGACACAAACACTGAATTTTCTGACTGAATGCAGATGCAAACATTTAATAACATATTTTATTCAAATTACATACTAGTATAGATTTTAGTCTCCTTAGGAGCCTCTTGAATGCTGAAAAATTAAAGAAAGCCAAAACAACTGTGCTTTGACTGATGTGGTTTTAGCCTGAAACTCTCATTTCATCAGACTGCTGATTGCTGGAAACGTATAAGACTGTAGTTTTCTCTAAACATGATCTAAAAATACAGACTATAGATGCACTTACCTTGAGAGGCCATGAAGCTTCCTGAGCTACTTCTTCAAAGGAAGCCAGGTTAAAAGAAAGGCTTTTCTTGTTGCAGCAAAGAAAAAAAGAGCACAGCATGCACAAAACTTCAGAAGGTGCCTGTCTACTTCATATCAGCTTACAAAGAACTGGAGGAAATGTGTTGTTGCCTTTCTTATTTTCCAGAACACTGTATTTTATGTCGGTGGACAACAGGGGGAGATGATGCTAACAAACAAGAAAAACATTATTCATTTCAAGTCATTTGCACCAATGGAAAGAGGAAAAAGTGATTTGTGAATACGAAGAGGCAAAACTCCAACGTACCCACTGGCTAACAGAACACATTTAGACGTATAATTCCGCTTTATAATTTATTTATATATTCTGGGATTACACAAATTCTATCTTTATAATTCAATATTTATGTTTCCATTTCATTAGGGTATCCGGTAAAGACAGATGAGCTAATTCCTACATTTCCCTGCTGCTGGCCCCCAAACAATATTTCCCATGCACTGGGCAGGAAAATCTACCTTGGACCTCTCATTGTATTCCATCCACACAACACCAGCCTCCCCTACAAGGGATGCCATGCCTGCAACCAGACCCAGAAAATGACCTTGTACCCCTCCTCCCCGTCACATCCCCTACTTGCCCATGCAGGCCTCTGCTGATCCATGTGAGCTATTTAAACGGGATTTGGAGAATTAAAACAGATTGGCTGTACTTTGCTCCAGACAAGCACTATCCATAGCAAAATGTAACGCATATAATCACTCGCATTGCACTCGGAGGAAAGGAGGTGGAGGAGGGAGAGTAACCTGGACTTACCAGCTCATATTTCTGCCCTGAGTGCCCAAGTCACCATGGAGATCATCACACACGTGCAATCCGCAGACAGATAGGATGCATTGCTGCAAAAATGGCTGAGCCTATGCACAGAGGCCAGTGGAGCAGAGTGAGGTGTTGGGGACCATTTTTTGCTCTTTCTACTACTGCAAATCTGCTGGTTTTAAATGGTCTCTAGCAACATGTCCAAGTGGATCTAATTCCAGAGTCTACATTCAGGAAGATGATGATAAGGATTCTCTGAAGGAAGAACACAAAAAATCCTCTCCCCCTCCCCCCCCCAAACCCCCCAAATTATACAGAAACTAGTTTTAATTGACTGGATTAGCAAATGCAAGGGCCTCAGGTCTACCTATGGAATGCGAAAAAAATGGCTATGTGAAACTTCCTAGGAGTTTATTACTGCCTGCTTGAGAAGTTCCTGCATGTGGTAGCAGCACAGCCCAAACCAGCAGCTGGTCCCTGCTGCACTCACCCCTGGAATCACCAGGTGAAGGGAGAGGACAGTTCACAGACAAAAACTTTCGTTTTGAAAAATGCACAGTAAACAAATCCTTCTGGACTGGGAAGAAGTTTGACATTACTGGAAATAAAGATTCATAATGACTAAAAGGTTTTTTTTCTTCCTTTCTCCCTGTCAAAGATGTGGTTCCTTCGAGCAGAGGATCTAACCTGGACAACAGACATAAAGCCTTAACAAAGGAAAAAAAAGGAGAGGAAAAGGTTGAGATAAATATAGTAAACCTGACTTTGAAAACGATAGATGAAATCTCAGGTGAGATGGCGCTCATCGACCTTTAAAAATCAATGAAGACTTACTTTACCTCCAAAACATGCACAAAAAAATTCCCAATATTTCTGTCAATGCATAAAATGGACAAAACACACTAAAAAAAATATATGCTGAAAGAAGGCATTTCAAACATTGAAAAGGCATTTTTGAGAAGTCCAAACAGCTGACTTGCTGACCTGGAGGAACCCACAGACCCCAATGCAGCCTGTCTGTGCTCTATGCAGTGCCCGCAACATGGGACCAGTCACAGAATCACATGATGTCAGGAGTTGGAAGGGACCTCTGGAGAACATCTAGTCCAATACCCCTGCCAGTGCAGGTTCACCTGGAGCAGGTTGCCCAGGGTGATGTCCAGGTGGGTTTTGAAAGCCTCCAGAGACAGAGACTCCACCGCCTCTCTGGACAGTCTGTTCCAGTGCTCTGCCACTCCCAAAGTCAGGAAGTTCCTCCTCATGTTTAGACGGAACTTCCTATGTTCAAGTTTGTGCCCATTACCTCTTGTTCTGTCACTGGACACCACTGAAAAAAGGCTGTCCGCATCCTCCTGACACCCACTCTTTAAGTATTTATAAGCATTTACAAGATTCCTCATCAATCTTCTCCTGGCTAAAAAGCTCCAAGTCCCTCAGCCTGTCTTCATAAGAGAGTGCCTTAATCACCTTTCTAGCCCTTTTCTGTACCCTCTCTAGCAGTTCCCCGTCCTTCTTCTGACAGTTCCAGTCACACCTGCAGTGTTGGTAGGCCCTGGGATAGGACAGGACAGGACAGCTGCGCAGTGCTGGGAGCTGCCGGCATGGGTTCCAGGGCAAGAACTGCCAGTGGCACAGGCAGGTCTACCGCACTGCAAGAGCCAGGTGTCATTATCCTGATGCTCATGAAAGAAACACTTTCCCGAAGAAATTCTGCCCCCAAAAAAGCTGATTTTCTGGTATTACTTATAAAATTGCAGTAAATAGGTAACAGAAAGATATAAAACTTTGTTTGAAGTACATTTTATGTTTTTCTATTTCTTTCAAAAATTTCTATATCTTTTACAATGCTCCCTCTTATTGCTTTATTCTGAGGCAAAAATTTTAGTAGATTATATCAATAGATTTCTGCAGGATTTGTAAACAATAGTCTTGCATTGACATAGGTCCTCACAAGTAAAACTATGTATTTAATAATTTCTTTAACCTGAATTTTTGGCACTTTTAAATTTATTTTTTCAAAATAAACTCACATATTGGTCAAAATCTGCTCCAGCTGTGATTAAAAGCAGTCTCAGTAAGGACTTCAGGAACAGAACACGTAATCATATTTCTCCAGGCACAAATGCAGCCATACTTCTCCGCTATTTAGAAAGGCACAGGCAAATCTACTCAAGAAATCAGGATGAAAATATAAAGAATTGTGTACAGCTATTTCAAAGCAAGTCTTAAGGACTTTGGGAAGCAGAGCAGGAGAACCCAAAAGGTAATTCTGCCAAGCTGCTGAACTCGCTGCCTCTGTCCTTTGCAGAAGGCTCCAGGGGATCACCGCCTACATTTAATCTATTGTTAGGAGCCTGAGCACTAAGAGTATACTTCTTTCCTCCATATGAATGTGCTGTACATCTGTAACATATTCATAGGTATTAAAAAAAAAGAAACTGAGTGTGTGTATACGTATTCCCTCTATGTGTAAAATATACTCATTCGATCCCATGCCATGAAGCTTATAAAAATTAATGGACAAATCCTCAGAAGGTGCAACTTAGCATGGATCTATTAAAATCAGTGAGACTATTCAGACCAAGGCAAGGAGGAGGATTTTATGCATCTAGAATCTTCCTTTTTTCCTTAAAGAAAAGTTGCATTACATCTTTTCTGTCACTACCTCTTCCCACCATCCTCATTAGTCTGGTGTACAAACAGCGCTGCAGTTAATGGTTATTATACAAACTACTGCAGCCTGTAGGAAACTTATCCATGGACTAAGACATTATTGTCCCAGACAGCACAAAGCCAGGACACCGATTTTTGCCCAGAAAGCATATAATGATAGTTAACCAGGTAGATCAGTAGAGTAAAGATACCATATGGTTAGAATAGGTGCTGCTTTTCTGCAGCCTAATCACTCTTCTATTTTCTACAGGGACCACAGCCGGAGTATGGCAATAGCTTCAAAAAAATGCTTTCACTAGTAGTCAGAGGCACCAAGAGAAAAACAGAAGACAGCAACAAAATTCAAAGTATTTGGGAAAGCTGTGTGGTTTCTCATCCTGATCCCTACTCCTCAGCAAATTCCCATATAAACCCAAGATATTTGCCCTTGTACTCAGCAGGGAAAAGACAACATTGCATTGGCTCCCCCTGGTAAGCAGGAACTGTCTCTCTCTCCTTGCTCCCCCACTCCGGACAGGTGCGGGCAGGACAGCTCCGCTCCTCTCGGCCTGCCCCTGCCGAGGTCCCAGCGGGCAGGGATGCGCTGTGCCGCCCAGCCGGCAGCTTCAGGGGAGCACGCAGGACCAAAACCGCCCCGGGCAATGCCTCAGCTTCCCTGCTGATAAAAGGGCTGATCACTAACGCTCATTTCCATTAATAATTTCCTTCCCAGAAATACCAGCCATCATCAGCATTACAATGCATTGTTATTGTCAATTTTTTTTTAACAGCAAATTATACAGTTTCCTCCTTTGCCTTTAGTAGAGAAAGAAAAGCAGAGCATGAGCGTTAAGTATTAGATTGTGACCCCGTGCAATAAAAAGCTCCACGTTACATATCTTTACACAGTATTGCTCTCTGCAGTGCAAGAAGAACAAAATAAACCAGCTTCTTAAACCAGCTACCATCTAGTATGGATCTCACCTTGAACTTTGGTTTGCGGGGCGTCTCCTTCAGCTCGTGTCTGCCGTAACTCCGCCCCTCCGGGGAGGCTGCAGCC